CACACACACACACACACACACACACACACACACACACACACACACACACACACACACACAAACAACCGTCACGCCTTCGGATCCTTTGCAAATCGTAACTATTTTATTGCGGTCGCCGCTGAATTCCAACTCCCGTCTGCAATTCAACAGTTTCATGTATGCATCAACTGACCAGCCTGCCAACGAGGAAACACACACCACTACGGATAGATACATTGAAAAGAAATTTGCCACTGCGCACGTGCACGCCCGTGAGAACGAGTGATGTCGAGCGCATCGGTCCCGCGTAGGGCGGGACCCTCCCGGCCGCGTCACGCAGGAGTTGGTCTACTCGCGACACACAAGGAGCTTCCGCAAGCCGCTCCGACCGAGTGCGTCAACCATACCTCTCGCGAGCCCTTACGACAAGATAGGGCCAACGCGAGGTACAACTTACCTCCACTTGCGGGAGTTGTCACCTCCCTTCTTTTATCTACATTCGTCAATAGCAGGCGAACAGAGTCTTCCTCCCTTCTCTTTAGCATCTTTAAATGTTTCTCTAGCTAGAAGCATCTCGCCAGCTGTCGGACCAGATGCATACCTCATCATAATGTAGCAATGATTCCGGAAGTCGGCTAGCCGGCTACGGATTTGAGGCACATGACTTTGATCACGATGATAAACGACTTAGTGTAATGGGGGGGGTGAACAGTGCAGCCAATAGTAATGGGAACGAGAACCAACGAGGAGATCGAGGCCAACACGACTACGAAGCAGTAACCAAAGCAAAGCGCGCAATCTTTCTTAGAACAGACTCGATCTGGAAAGAAGGTTTGATGATGAACAAGAAGATGGAGGCGATCACAAACGGGAACCACATGTACCAAGAAGGAAGAATGGATCTTCCCCTAGGAGATGGAAAGGTACATGTCCAGTTTTCACCTTCTTTCCACTCCTGCCTGCCCACATACCGCACAGCCCACGATGCTCGTGCCATCGAAAGCGCCCACACTCTCCAACATCCGGCTACGCTACCGGACTCGCTACGGTAGACAACCGCGACTTCACATCCTCCCTCACCCAATTCCCTCAAGGATCGAGTAAGGTATCCATCGCCTAATCGTACCATATCCAAACTCTTGCGCCTTGCCTGTGCAACCTCTTTTCTGGTTACCATCTATCTTACTATTCTAACGTCAAAACTAAGATTTCCATTGCGTTCGCCTTGCTTTCAAACCCCAACATCTCATCTTACTTCGTTTGATTTTGTGGTGAGTCGAGCGAAATATCGATATTTCTCTTCCACCCATAGCTAAGTTCCCGTCACCTTCACGCACTAGTTTTTCTTACTAACTCTTAACCCACTAACCTATCACTAAGACTAACAGCGGATCTAAAGTCACCCGCCTCCAAAACCCCAGTTTCGACCTTTGGTTCGCCCAATTCCATCAAGGATCGGGTGAGAACTGCCCTTTTGCTCTGCCATAGCCACTCCTTCGCCCATACCCCGCATGCACCCGGCGCAATTTCGCGTCCGGGTTCACTCCACCATTTTCACCATTCCGTCCTCCTCGTCCTCTCCTTCTCTCGCTTTCCCCGGTGCTGCTGAAACACATTCCAATACCGCGTGGTCTCACAGCTGTGTGATGACACCAACTGACAATACGAGTTGTGGTGCACAGAACTACAAAGAGAACCTTAGTCTTTCTCCCCTATACGCAACTCCGACAACCTTTTAGCACGTCAGTATAGTTGCGCCTCCACCTTAGCGAATCAAATCGATGTGGAAAAGAAGTTGCCCATCCCTCCCCCCCTTGCAGCGCGTTGTTCGACAGTCGGATGGCCCGATCAGTCTTTCGCCCACTAACACATACCCAACCCCAATTAGCGATATTGCACAGT